ACCCACCAAAAAGATCTGATCAAGATTGAGAAAGATTCATACTTGGTGAATATTGGAGGAAGGACAATTGAGGGGAATGAAGCCTGGTCCGACGACACCAGAATCACCTATAATCGATCAATCAATCAACAGTAAAGATCATCATGAGTAGCCTCGAGCCAGACAACAGTCCCCTCAAGATAGAGAACTTCCTTATGACCTAATTGCTGTCTTGAATCATCCATGGCAGAGAGAAATGAAAGAGTAGTGTGTGTGTGTGTGAGAGAGAGAATGAAAACAGTGAAGAAGATATATATGTTGATAAAAGGAGAAGCAAAGTCATAAATGCAAAACAAACACTTGCCCCCACACTCCTCCTACCTCCTCTGTTCATCTCTATATGCGCCCTTCTTCAATCTTTACATACCACAAATATAAAAACAGGAACCCCTTTTTTTAGGGTTCCTGTTTTTTCTAAATCACATGAATGAATTACTCGTGAATTCTTGAAATTGTTTGTAATTCCATTGATGGTTTCATTGAAACTCAAAATGAGGAAGCAATGTGATAATGGTTGTTAAGATTAGAGTAAGATATAAAATTGAATTTAGTTGAAATTGGTATGAGTTTGTAATTGATGAAAAGGGTTTTGGGGAGAAGAGAATCCCCTTTTTAAGTTTTTTTTCTCGACTTTTATTTCTACTTTTTAGAAAAGCATTGGAAATGGGACCTATATCTGTTGCCGTGTTCTTCAAGGTTGACCATATCCAACAATTACCCTCCTTTCTATGTCCGATAGCTTTCGGTCGTTGTTATGTTTTTTTACCGGGTAAGATTTCGATCTTTTACATGTTTAATTGTTAAGATAAATGATATCGATAAACGCTTATATAATAAGTGTTTAATAAACAGCCACTTAATTCGAAAAGCATTTCAACAATGTAAAATCTTTCGTTTTCTTAATAATATGATATAAACATAAAACTGCAAATTATATAATGACATGTATATAATGGAGCAAATTATGATTTTCGGCTCTATGGTACCATATTCTCTTTCATCCTCGACCTCTGTTTATTACAAATAAACCCTTAAAGTATGGGTACATTTTGTGCTACAGCCCTTCCACCTGATTGGGTTTCAACTATTAGTAAAGCGGTCTTGTTCTGGTCTAGTGCATTCCCCTAATGGCGTCAATTATTCACAGTAAGAAATTGCATTCATGTCACTTGCACACGAGTATTTTGGTCGTTTCTCTAGCATTTTCAAAGAAAAATCTTATCCTCTCCACCTTATACGAAACTGCAACCCAACATTTCCACTAGGACCCTGAACTGCAAATCCTTTGATTCTCAGTCTTCGCCCAAGGTATTGGTGCCCTACTTACACGTAGTAGAGAACTAAATGACTAAAGGGGGCATCAAGTCGACAAAAGGGAATCATGAGGAATAAAAACGATAGACTCGTTAGGTTGATAAATAAGTTTAATTATTATTATTTTATATATTCGATCTTTATTAATGTATTCATGGTTTTTTGAAATTTCATTTTAATAAGTTGGGTTTTTAGAGCTGATTTGATTCAAAATAGAATCTTAGCGTCACTTGGTTCTATATTATCGCTAGTGTTGATTCCTGCGTTTCTTAATTCTTTCTTACTCACCATCGATCGCCTCCTTTCCGGCTCCAACATTACACTTGAATGCAATACAGTTGATATCTTTCAGCCTTATATCCTTAATTTTTAATTTTTGTTTTCTTGAATCTTGATTTTTTTTTTGATTGACCTGGATATTTCACTCGCTATGCAAGCCGACAAATCTCAGGGTGCTTACCTACTTTGCGGGTAGTCTGGAGTCACCGCATTTGAACCTTCGTGACCACAAAATGACTTCTATTCCTCATTGGATTTAAATGTGAGACCTCCACCACTTTTGACCACCTTATGTTACATATTACAAATTTTTGTTTCCTAGTGCTTAGTCATATATATATATATATGTTTTCTTCATGCAATTATTACATTAATTTACAAATAAGCTCTATAAATAATTAACCCTAAAATTAGATCCACAAATTGTTTTTTTTTTTTGGGGGGGGGGGGGGGGGATGCCACATTTATTATGGATTTGAAAATTTAAGGGTTGCTTACTAAACACTTACCTCGCAAACGCTTAGCGGGTCACTTCAATATCTTGGATAAATATGGAAAGAATCGAGAATCTTACCCGAAAGGTGACAACTTTTATGCGATTAGCATTTACCGAACAAACTGTTGCATACAATGTTGTTTCAGGGGCTGTTTACCAAACACTTACCCGGTAAGCGCTTACTGGTAAAATTTAACAGTACCATTTACTTACCGGGTAAGACTTTAGTCCATCAAAACGGCATCGTATGTAACAATTTACAGAGTAAGTGCTTACTATGGCAAGAGTCGTCGTCCTCACTTACCGGGTAAGACTCTTGGTCCTTGTCTCCCTCTTACCGGATAAGATTTTTGGTCCTTACCATATTTATCCGCTAAGGTAATATGACTTGATAAGCGTTTATCTGGGTAAGCGTTTGGTAAACGGCCCCTCAGTGGGTTAGAATCTTCTCTGGTAAGTAAGTGAAATTATTAAATCTTAACATTAGACGATTACGAGGTAAGCATTTGAGTAAATGATCTTTAAGTTATCTTAAAGTATGTAGTAGATAAAAAAATCGAATTAAAAGAGCAAATTATACGAAAAAAGATTTGTAAAACAACATTGTTTTATGGGTCAAAAGAGGCCCAAAATTTCAGCCCATAAAGTTGTTAGTTATGTATAGGGTTTTTGTTAATGTACGGTCCTGTTTGTTTTTTAAAAAAAAGCACTTAATTGCCTTTTATGTCTGAATCGGTCAAACATTGAGGAATTAAATGTGTTTGTTTTTTTTTTTAATTAAGAGCTGAATTTCTCTGAATTTGTCTGAATTATTCAGATGTAAATTAAAGTCAGAAAACCACTTATTTTGGAATTTCATCTCCTTCCCCCAATATCCAATGAACAACACCACTACCAGCACTCACTACCATCGTCTCCTTTCCTTCTTTCAACCACCACCACCGCCACCGCCACCGCCACCGCCGCCGCCGTCCTCAGCCCATCAACACCGTCGTATACCCGACTCCCAATTGCAGCRCCCATCCTTTCATGGCTGAACCAACACCGCCACCGCCCCCTCTTTCTCAACCATCACCATCGCCACCGCCGCCGTCTCCACTTCCATCAACCGACGACCCATCTTCTAATTCCGATCGCTCCCGAATTCCCCAAACAAACCCTTCCAAAATCCCTATTCGTCCTCAGAAAATCCGAAAACTTTCCTCATTCGCATCTGTTGATTCTGCAACAACCCTCCCAGAAGAAATTAAACGTCAATCAACAATCGCTGAAGCCGACGCATCCAAAGCCATCATCCTTTCAACCACCACAACCACTGTCGTAACAAAAAACCGTCATCTCAACTCTCGATTTCAATCTCGATCTAAAACACCTCAAGCTCCGGATCTCGATCTCTTCTTCTTCCTCTCGATATCTCAAGAAAGGCATCTTGATTTCACTCTCGGTCTTCTACCTCTCGATCTCTCTGAGAACCCACGACAAGAAGCATGAGTCTGTGTTCAAAACATATAAGAATTGTTCTTGGATTTGGGTTTTTTAAGTAGTTGATTGTTTATATGTTTTCTTTTTGTTTGAGTTTTTTAAGAATCATCGTAGAATGACGCATAATTAATGGAACCAGACTTCAGACGTAAAAACAAACAGTCTGATTAATTCAGATTTCAGACTTCAGCACCACCTCTTAAAAATCAGAAGTGAAATCAGACTTCAGACTTCAGCACCTCTTAAAAAACAAACGCCACCTACATCTTTGGCATGATTCTCAACGTGGACTCAAAAAACATTCCAAGAAAATGACTAAAATACAATACGAGTAAAGTGTGAATACACACACACACCAGTCTCCACCTAATTGGACCATTTGGCGCATCGTATCTTATCTCTTTCTTCTTTTTCACACCATCGTGTCCATCCTTTTAGTCAATCAAATTAAAAGTAGTCGGGCCCACCTCCCTCCAATTTATTACCTACCCATTCCCACTTTTAATATCTATCCACGCTCTCTTAACTTGTACCATTCTTTCTCTAATTCTATTTATATCAAAACCAAATTATATTACACATTAAAAATGTAAGAGAAAATCAGTAGTTTAAACTTTAAATGTGTATTTTTTTTAAGTATATAATATTTATATACAGAAATAAACTTACACATCATCTTCATTAATTGAACTCTTGATCTTTTAAAAGGACAAAGACTTGTATATAACTAAACCAAAGACCCTTTGATAATTCTAAATACTTATTTAACCTACAAGGTTTTTAAATTCAAATCCAACATGGATATACACAAACTCTATGCCGACAATGCCATCAAAGCCACAATGAAAACGTGTACATGTACAATTATGTCAAATCACCTATCCAAGTTTCTATGTTTCGTGTTCTCTTACTATCCACAAATTAACATATGACGTATCCATCACTCTATTTCTGCATATTTTTTTGCATTTTCTTCAACAATTTAAGAACTAACATAAACACAACGCTAGTTGCTAACGAGAATCTCAACAAATCGGAGAAAAAAACTACGCCAAAATTCCATAATTTCCGTTTTGAAGAATTTATTAGAGAAGCCCTCCTTTTACGGGTTCCATATAACACAAGAAACTAATAAAACCTCATTCAAGGTAAGGTTCTTAACCAAAAAAAACTCCAAAAACATATAAGTATTTTTTGTAATGATAGTCGTTATGAATTACTACACTTTTTGCTTACAAATACCTCTCAACGAAGAGGCTCTTAAAATCTAAATTAAATACATATATTTGAAGCAACAACGATATATCAGGAGTAAGATTGATGGATCAGAAAAAAATCATTTGTGTTCAAGTCAACAATGGGTTGAAAAAGGAGAGAAAAAGGACAAAATTAGTAGAATTCACGTCAATTCAACGCGTACACCTGGAGTTCCCTCCGATATCCCACACACTAAAAAGGGACTATATAACAAATACCCACTACTCCATTTCACCACAAACTTCCACCTGCTTGTTAGTTGTTTCCGTCCAAGCCCAAGAGAGTCTAAAGAATGTCTGTTTCCGGTGCATCGATCGTCGAAACTCGGAGGAACAAGAACGAGGGTCGAAAACGATTTACAGACAAGCAAATCAGCTTCCTCGAGTACATGTTTGAGACACAGTCGAGACCGGAGCTAAGGATGAAACACCAGGTAGCAAACAAACTTGGGCTTCATCCTCGCCAGGTGGCTATATGGTTCCAGAACAAAAGAGCCAGATCGAAATCGAGGCAAATCGAGCAAGAGTACAACACCCTAAAGCAGGACTATGAGACACTGGCATCTAAGTCTGAGTCACTGAAAAAAGAGAATCAAGCCCTACTTAACCAGGTATCGTAGTGGTTATATACTACAACTSGAACACCATCCTAAGTAGTTTCATTCATATGTGAATAAAGATTTAACCAATGTTACTTGATGAAYAGTTGGAGATGCTAAGAGACGTAGCAGATAGGCATCAAGAAAACACTAGGAGGCTGGACTCCATTGGAAACAGTAGCAGTGAAGATTCTGATGATCGAATGACCACTTCCCCAACCAAAAACGATGCTAACATTACGTTAGAAAGCTATAGCCAGGAAATTAGCGTTCCATTTTATGAGAATGTTGCATACGTTGGAGAAGAAAGCAAATTTGTAGTCATTGAAGAACAACTATGCAGTGTCAATGATTGGGAGGAAACTACCTGCGGCTTCGAGCCAGATGTTCCGATGTGGTGGGAATTCTGAAGTCGATTAGTGAGAGATCGTATGTTAGAGATAGACCGTGAAGCAGTAGAACAGAGTGTCACTCTTGTTTCTGCAGTATACATCACTGAATGTATCACCGGTAGTTAGAACACACTTGTACATAACACCAGATAAATGAARAACATCTTTGATGTGATGTTACCTGTGTATTTTGCTTCTCATTGAAATGCCATTCCTGTTCACAGGGGAAAACAAAAAATGGTTAGACAAAAATATAWGGCACGTGATAGTGTCCACTGGCCTTTGGMCTGATGGGATAAACCGACCATAGAGAAGAACCTAGAGGTCAAGTTTTCAGGTCTTAAAATGGACATAACTAGCACGTTGCACCAAAAATAGGCAAAAGAAATGAACCAACAGAAACAGAAAAATCTATAAATATGCACGAATATGCCACCAACATAAAGTCAAGAACATAGAATTTTTATGCTTTACTGAATCTGACTGTTTTACATAGTTTAACACGAGGTATTACAGACAAGGCAAGTATGGTGAACTACATAATCTGGTTTAACAASAAGTATGACATCGGCTCTATATCTCAGGCTTGATCTTCACATCTCCATTTGGCAATATGCTTTGTGCTTGTGCAAGGCGTACAGATTCCTGCATCAGATGGTTTCCGGGTTAGTAAGTATCGAGACAATCACATGACGTATCTTTCCAAGGTGACTGAAACATATCAAAGTCACGCCCAAATGTGGGTTGTCCAAGTGGATGAGGATTTTCTCTTGATATCTAAAACCTTGATTATAACAAATAAATTTTTATCATCTTCCTTAAATATACATATCATAATAAATGAACCCTCATTATTTCCATAAATATCTCAATTGATTGGTTTGTATGGTTTGTATTAGTTAGGTGGTCTGCAAAGGAAGGGGATTCTCTCTCTCCCTCCCTCCCTCCCTCCCTCTATATATTATCCATTAATACAGGCAAATTGTTGATCTCAACCAGGACAAACACAAGTGAAAAACAATACTCCATTACATAAAAAAGGTGCAAGTGTGTGACAATTGACAGGTTGCACGAGAAGATTGCTGACTAAACAATTTTAATAAACTATCCACTAGAACAGGAAGTTTTCAATTCAAAGCAGACGAGGACGCTTGAAGTCTAATAACTTTTTCCTGTCCAATAGAACTTTTTACACTTGAGAAGTTACTTTCAGGACACAAATTAAGGTCACATTAGTAATTTTCCCTTGATATACTCCTAAATGAACAATGGCACTCCTTGTGGGAAATCCAAAATGAGAAGGGTTGCACTTCTTACGGAATGTATGTAAGGTACCATTCCACACCAACCCAAGTAGAGGACTAGCAACTCCCTTGTGAAAGAGCCTGAAGCTAATCAACCTTTGATCATATAATTTATGTTGGGACCCCCATATCTTAGGTGGTATATGGCTCTATCATGATTCTCTTAGCGCATTCAACTATGACCACCTGATGGTATCTGCTCATGTATGCAAGCTTGCTTGCTTGCTTCAAGAACCAAATGGATTCTAGCACCAATCCACTCAACTTTCTGTTGAATACTAACATGCTTACAACTGATTAAGCTGGAAAGCAATCTTAACAAAATAACAGGAAAGAAATCAAAGCAGTGATCAGAACCAAAAGGTGATATTTCAATAAGTTTACATAACTCACAGCTGCAGAAGATGCACGAATCTCCCTATAATCTTCGACTTCATCAGGAAATGCTTGTTCAAGTTCTTCCAGAAGATGCCTCCGCAAACCCTGTAAACATAAACAGTGAGTCATATATGATAGATGCAGATAATTCATGCATGAAGTACAACATTAACATATAAAAGATTATCGGAATTCCACTGCCCATGGTTCAATATTCACATTGCAATGAAATAAATCAAAAAGGAAATTATATTAGTAGAGATAATCTAACAGCATTAAGGGACAATCAATAGTCTTTAGTTGCAGGCTTGCACTTGCACTTGATTCTCGGAGAACACACATCCACAAAATTGGATCAAATGAATCGTCTGTTAGTGGTGAAACTTCAACTAGAGCAGAACTAATGAGGGCAGATCTAGTTCAAGAATGAAAAAATAGTAACAAAATAGTATCAACCGACTAGAAAGTAACATTTGGCATGTAAACAAGTATATCTTCCACATCCTTATTTAAATCATCTCCTTTTATGCCTAAGAATGGAGGCAGGAAAAAGATGTGGAGCATCATGAATCATCTAAGGTTGAACAGACGTCAAGTAAAATATAACAAGCACACACGATGTTCACAATGTTACAAGCAATACATGTACATCGTCCTCAGACACACAGCACCAGTTGCAAACTGAACAGCACACACGATAAGTCGCAAATTCACAGATAAAATATAACAATCTATCCAACCATTTTGTACACTTATAAAATCACCATAAACATTGGAATTGTAATTTGCAATCACATGACGTTCCAACTTTCTGATCTATCACTGCCTTCAAAAACTGCCTCCTCTCATCTCATCATCCTATAGATACACACTTCCAAATCACACAGAATTAATTCTTTATCCTGAAACAAGAAAACCAGCTTAACAGGGGAACCAAACTACCTGCATATGAAACCATCAATCATTCTGAACATATAAGAATGGTGTTTACTTTTTCTCAATCTAATAAACTTTCTTGCAGCATCTTCTCATCATAGCATCCAAGATCATCATTCACCATATTCTGAATATGCACTTCATTACCTCAAATATGCTAAAGAAATCGCCATACAGCACTTCATGATTATCATCTATGAGACACCATCAACAAACCTCAAATCTCTCACTCCCAACCAAACCCCAACTCTCCATTATTTAACGTAAACATTAGGAAATTCATTCCCACATTTCCAAAAGCATTGGCCAGTAACGCGTAAGACTTCATATATGCGTTATACCATGGGTGTTATTGTTCATAAGTCAATTGTAGTAGGCTATGGTACAAGTATTCACTGCAGGGGTACAACTAGGAGAAGCAGAGTAGTGTATCAGTAACTTGGTATAAACAAGAGGGTATTGGAGGGGAGGAAGGATCGATTACTTTGTGCTATGAGTTTGGCGAAAGCATTAGGTAGAAAATATGTCCTCTCGAAAGTCAGAAACTATCTGTAACCATTAGATTTACCCTTCGAAGTTTTAGAAAATACATATAACAGGCTCAAACTTTTATTCTATTATATATACATCCTTTGAACTTCCAAGGATGCTACAATTTACCACACATGTGATGGATTAACTATTATATTCAGTTCCACAACCGGAGAACATTGACAAGAACACTTTAAAAGAACTTCTTCGTGTACATAGGGTAAACACCCTGTGAGAATTCCCTTGAGCACTAATAAGAACAAGACCAGTTAAGAGAAGCACAAAATTTGGAGCTTTCATCACTCCCTCATTAACGAACCACCCTTCTTAGTGTCAAACACCCACAACATATGAAAGAAACTTGCTTTAGTGAACAAAAACCACATGCTTAGGCCAATCCGACACATTCTACACATTTGAGACAAGTGTACAACTGAAACTACATGAAAAGGGTGTATTTCTGGGAATTTCTAGATGCTACAAAGTTATTCACTGCTGATTGAACAATAGCAATTAAAGAACAGAAGCCCAACCCCCTAAACCAACCACCTCCCAAGGAGGCAAGAGTGGTATGACTGGGTGAACTTTTCATGCATAGTTGATAAAATAATTTTTGCACGACCATGTTATCTGTTAAATTAATATGAATCATAAATACAAAGAGGGAATAATATAACACCTTTATCTGCCTAATATTTGCATCTCTATCACAAGCTTTTAGCTCACAACGAGTAATTCTAAATATTACAACAAACTGTAATACCAAAGAGGCCTCTCTAGCAACAAAAACTAGCCCTATAGCTACAAGAAGATAGAACTGGGATTATATGCAAAAAGATATTGGTTACGTGCAGATCCATGATGATTAAACATAAAAAAATGATGATGCAAACCTTGAAGGCATCAGTTTTGCCTTTAGTTATCTGGTTTTTAGCAATGCAACTATTTAAAACTTCCCTGGTGAATTCATCCGGATTCTTTCCATCATCTATCAAACTGAAAATTCATTCAATCACGCATTCCAAAATTAGAACATATAAAACCAAATATGATAAAGACTTTAAAGAAAAAGCCTGATTTATTACTTTAAGACTTCCATCGGAACCTGTATGTTACACTTCTCCGACAATTTTGTCATATTATCCATCTCCAAAACAAGTGTGTTTCTGCAAATACAGAATAAAATTATCAAAAAGGACAAATTGATGATATGGATTTATTTGATATAAACAGTCCCTTATCAAAATCTTAAAACAAACAATTTGGATAAAAATACACAGATAACGAAATTACAGGCGTTGGAGGAGGGGGAGCTGAGAGGAAACGTTGAAGGAAGAGACGGTGAGGTAGAGCTGATGGATAATTCCTAGCGATTTCTGAATTGAATTTATGACTTGGTTTAGGTTTTGCTTGGGATCGTCAGACGACGAAGTGGTTGCCATGACAGTTGATTCAGCCGGCGAAGCGTCGTTGTGTTGGGGATTGAGCGTACCATTGCCGCCAGAGGCTGCTGCTCCGGTAGATTCCATCTCCGTTCCGGCTTCAATACAACTCAAGTACAGATCGCGAGGGTTTCTTAGGCGCAAATTCCCTTTGGGGTCGCCTATTTGTTGGAGAGAAACCGCTTTATATAGCTTAATTTTTTATTTTTTTAAATAAGGAAAAAATAATGATAATACTAAATCGTCAAGGGATAAATCTTATTTGATGAAAAAATAGACTATCTTTTAATAATTTTAAAGCTCTCTGAACCATTTTGTATTTTAGCCCTTTTGAACCATTAGGAACTCTAATTTCATTTTAAACAATTATCAAACAACTATATTTAATTTTGCACTATATTATAAGTGTATCTTAATCATTTGAACCACTTAATCATGTTTTATCAAACAATTTAGCAACAACCAATTTGGTTAGTAAAATTCAGAAAATATTTTTTAAGAAAGAAAAAATATTAATTATTAAAAAATTATAAATTAATATTCAGGACTTTGTCGGACAAGATGTATCGACACACGATAACGCATCCATAAACTTTTTTAAAGTATCATACGAATTAGAGTTGCTCAACCTAATCCGAAGCCACTTAATACCTAATTGAGTTGTAAGATCTTCAAATCGTAGGTATTGTATTGAAATTGAGTTAGTGTCATTTGAACCCAACCCAACTCAACTCGATGCCTTTTGATACCATTGATTTAATATGATTGGTAAGTCCTTAATACATATATGGAATTGTTAGCCTTAAAAGAAAGTCTCATGCAAATAGCTTTAAAATTTCTGAAGTATTCATTAGTTTTATTTGTATGTTCTTGTTGATTTTATTTCGTTCAAGCATAATCATTTAGCTAGATTGTAAAATAACATACCAAAATTTCAATCCGACCAACCCGTATTATTTGGTTGGGTTGAATTAAGATTTTTCAAACAGTGGGGCGACGAGGGGTGGGAAGGGGAGGCAATGGTGTCAAGTGCGAGAGTTTTGAATGATGTAGAATTTCGAACGGTAACACTGGTTTAAGTTTTTTTTTTTTACTTTTATAGCCGTTATATAAGTAGCCTTGTTTGGTTAAAATTATAATTTTATAGTTTTCTAGAAGCATTTCCAACAACTATGCTAAAATAGCGATTTTGATGGTTTTAAAGATTTATTTGCTCCAATAACTATGTTATATTGTATGGTAAAATATAGAGAGAGAAAAAAAGAGAAATCATACAAATCTCCAAATTTGGAGGAATCCCTAAAACCTACTATTTAAAAAGGATAAATAATATTTTAGTCTTTCCATCAATATAAGCCATTAAATTAAATGGGGAGTGCTAATGGCACCTCCTTTCATGTCAGAATCAGGTCATTTCAAGCATTGAGAATGTAAAAAGTATACATTGATGTTGATGTGTGTGAGGAAGAAATTCATGGTAGGGGTGCATTAAGCAATGCATAGGGGTGCATTTAGCCCACCCCTAGATTAAAATGTTTAGGAGAGAGATAATATTTTATTAAGGCATTGATTATTTTAATAATATAATCAATGTTAGAATCTCTAAAATAGAATAAGTAGACGGTAGTGCTGTCGCACAGGGCCTTCGATCATTGAGGGGACTTCAGTTTTTTCTAATTTATTTATTTAAAATAAAATAAATATATAATTTAGATAATACATTGCATTATATGAATTCACTTTTAGCACATTGGGAAATGCGGTTTATAAGTTCAACTAATGCAACAAAAGATGTTTGTTCGAATCCCTCGTTTTCTTTTGAATTTTTAACTTTTCAGTTGTTTTAGGAGGCGTTTGGGATTGCTTATAAAAACAATTTATTGACTTATTCCGGTGTGACACCAGTAATAAGCACTTTTGAGTGTTTAGATAAACAGCTTATACGGGTGTCAAACCGGTAATAAGAAGTTTTTAAAAAAATTCAATTATTCTAACTTAAAATAAGTTGATAAAAACTTTTATATGAAAGCATAAGTTGTTTCAAATAAGGAATCCCAAACACCTTTTTAATGATTCTTTGTTTTCTAACTGTTTTTAGTAATTGCTTTTAGTATTTGTTTTATATTTATTATATGACTTGAAAATCCTAAATCGTAGTTATTTCTTTTATCTTGTTCTTCGATCTTCGTTCCTTATTGAAACAAACAAGCGACATGTTCCTTTAACTCTTCTACTTTCGAATTCCATTTGTATAAAATTGGATTCGATAACTTTGATTATGAAGTGTTTTTTTGTTTTCTATTTTTAGAGATTACTTTATATAACTTTCTATGATTATTTAACGGAATTTTGAATTTCTTTTAATTTCTAACTTAAAATCATGGTGGAGGTTATTAATAGTCAACTACTTGAGATTTATAAGAAGTTAACAATTTTCACCTTCTATTCATGTGGGACGAGTTGTTACAAACTCCCCCACTTAAACTCATAGCGTCCTCGTCAGACCTATCCAAAATTTTCCTCCTTGTCATCGACAATGTGAGATTTGCCTAAGATGTTACAAACACCCTCTCTCGAAGACTCATCATACTCGATGAGGTTTGGCCCACCATCCCGATGGTACAAGAATCGACTCTGATACCATTTGTAACATCCCCAAAGCCCAAACCAACAGACTGACACAATAACTTCGAATACAACTTAAAACCATGGTGAAAGTTATTGATAACCCACTACTTGAGACTTATAAGGAGCTAATAATTTTCAACTTTCATCCATATTAGACGGGTTGTTACATTAATTATTCTTCATTAGGTTTTTTTAAAACTTTTTTGGAATTTAAATGATCTTAGTTGTTAATTGAAAACAAATAGAAAAAGACAATATCTATGTCTTAAACATCGACTGTATCACGAGTGTTTGGATGATTCATCATGAGTCACACAAAGGTCAAAAATGTCATATTTTCTGTGGCCAAAATGGCTTCTCTTACAATAATCAATATCATATGTTGTTTATATGTATATAAATAGGGGTGGGCTAAATGCACCCCTATGCATTGCTTAATGCATCCCTACCATGAATTTCTTCCTCACATACATCAACATCAATGTATGTTTTTTACATTCTCAATGCTTGAAATGACCTGATTTTGACATGAAAGGGGGTGCCATTAGCACTCCCCTATAAGTAACTTCCTTATGTTAGTTGTCTTATCGTATTAAAGCCATAGATTCATTAGTTTTGTGGTGTTATAACCCGGCTGCTTATTGTTGGTTGATGTTGGTCGTTTGGTTCGCTTGTCGTGTCATTGCGTCAGGTGTTTTGTAGGGGGAGGGTCTTTGTTGGGTTTCGACTCATATTTACCCGTTACTAAGTTTAAATAGTCATATCTTAACAAACAATATCAATATACCTTTTCCCAAATTAAGAAAACGGAGAAAAACGTTCACAAAATTAAAGCAAACAACTTTAATTTATGTTATTGACCAAGATGAAGTGGTCACGTCTAAGCAGCCTTTCCAGAAATGAAGCTAAAAAGATTTACAAATGGCATAAAACCCCAATTCAATGACTATAAATCAGTGGCATGGGATTACTTCAAGACTCTGATAAACATAACACTGTCCAACATGAACCACAATCAAGAACCCATATCATAAACCCATTTTGTAAATCTAATTCTTTGAGCACAAGCTCGAATCTTGGAGTTTCGAAAGAGCCTTCTCAAACTGGTTCCACCTTTGTTCCAGAGTCCCACTGTAACCGATCGACATCCTAACCAAACCAGGCGAAATGCCCGCCAGTGCCTGCTCTTCTTCATTCAGTTCACTACTCGTGCTGCTACCCGAGCACGACATGAGTGTCTCATAGTAACCAAGACTAACCGCCATGAGCCCGAATTGGGTATGGTTCTGCAACAGATTCATCAGCTTATTGGCTCGAGCTTCAGTTCCCATATCCAAACAGAGCATCCCACCATAACCATACTCCTTGTTTGCAATGGATTTCAAGAGACGGTGATCAGGGTGGTCTTCTAACCCTGGATAGATCACTTTCAGCCCCATTTTCTTCATCCTTTGGGCGTACACCAAAGCCCTGTGGCAGTGTTCTTTGATTCGAAGTCCCAAATGAGGAATTCTTTCAGACAACTCGAATGCAACCTTGGCATTCATGGTTGGACCTAGTAACATAAGAGCCCCTTGGTGAAGGTCCATGAGAGAGTTCACCAGACTCGCTGGCCCACAAACAGCCCCTACAGTAATCAAAACAACACAATTAAAGATGGCTGATACTGGTTCCTGTTTCTTAATTTTTGAATCTTGAAAAAAAAGCTGATCAGAAAAGGACAGACCCATCACATGGATGAACATGTTCCTTATTTTGGCTGTTAGTAATCAAGTACCCATTTTCAGCCACTTAACCATTTCTTCCCTAAATTTCTCAAAAACTTAAAAATTTCCAAACATGGTCTTTAAATAGGTCCGCAAATACAAGAATCGAATCTGTAAATTTCTAACATGGTCCTGGACTTGAGGAAGTTCCACCTTTTGTCTTCTAGCTCCTCGATTACGGCGTTGTCACTAGTTTTTAGTATTTCCTCGTGAAACCGATTAAGAGTTGCAGGAAACAAGCCCAAAAGAAACAAGAAAAGTGAACCAGTTTCCATGTGATAACCTTTTAATGGAAAAACAATCACATGAACCAAATGAATGGCTGCAGTTTCTTTTCAAGTTTTAGCCTTTACCCAGATGCCCAAATAGCCAAATTAATCAATACGAATTAACAAATATGATAGTGAAAGAAGACGAATCTTGAATTGATGTTTGATAATTCAAGATTGTTTGTTTGCTGTTAATACCATGACACGCGTAAGAAATAGAGATGGATACCGTCAAAAAGCAATACATACCAGCAATTATGTCGGCTCCACCGCTAACATACTTTGAGATACTATGGACTACGACGTCGGCACCCATCCTCGCCGGCGAAACCACCATCGGAGCAAAAGTGTTGTCAACCACCACCATCAAACCCTTTTCATGGGCTATTCTAGAAAGCTCTGGGATGTTCGCCACAGTTAAAGTTGGGTTAGACATCGATTCAAAGTACAAAACCTTTGTGCGTCCTTCAATGATTGCCTCTTTCGTCTTCTCCAAATCCCTTATGTCAACAAACGACGTCGTTATGTTCGACGACCTCGGAAGAAAATGGGTGAGAAGGGCGTGTGTCCCACCGTAAAGCGTCTGAGACGCCACGATATGCTCGCCGCTGCTGACCAACTGCAACAAAATCGAGGAGATGGCAGACATGCCACTGGACGTACAGTACGCCGCCTCGGTCCCTTCAAGCGCCGCCATCTGACGGCCGAGGTTGAGGACGGTGGGGTTGAAATGACGACTGTAGATAAAAAAATCACGATCGGGACCTAACTCTCCGGCGAACATACGGCTGAGAGTCTCAGGCTCCATGACGGTGAAGGTGGCGGAGGCTTCAATCGACATGTTAACTCCACCATGCTCTCCAAATTCATGGCGAGCATTGGCTAAAGCCGATACAGGGTCTCCCCATGTGGGTTTTGCTGGTAGTTTCTTGGAGATGAAGTCATCGTCATGGTTAGAGTCGTCGGGTGTCGCCCTCTTCTTTGAGGAGGAGATAACATTGACGTTCTGAAGTGCATCTGCCATGGCGGAAATTGCGTAGAAAGATAGCAAGAGAAGATGAAGATGAAGATGAAGATGAATGATGGGAAGGGTTGGTTTAAATAGAGGATTTGAGAATGGAGTTACGAATTGAGATCGTAAAATATACAGTGAATCTGGCCACTTTTTATGTGTAAATGGGTAGAGTTGGTAAGTTTTGAAATCGGATATTGACGTGATGCTCCAAAATCGTAACAATCACATGTCACACATAGACCGCTATATCCATCAAATTGGGTTAATATTCGAATATAATCACGATACACCATACACGTAATACATAGACCATCATCAAATTGAGGAATATTTATACGATACTATTTTCCCAAAAAAATATTATTTTATTAATATTTAAATATTCATACTGTTTTAAAAAATACGAAAAACATTATCAAATTTTATTACCATAATGTTTTGTTGTGAAGGTTTACTATTATTTATATGGTCTCACAAATCTCATGAAAAAAATCTGATATTACGTTATATTAATTCTATTTAAATAATATAATTAATGTTAAGATTTAAAAAAAAAAGTAATTAAATGGAATGGAATTGTTTTTATTTTAGAATTTGATTCATTTTTAAAAAAAATCTTAACGAATATATAAAAGTTCTTACACATCAAAAATGTTCTACACTTTACGCACGTAAACATTATGAGCCATAAATAAATATTTTTAAAAGGTAAAACTAAAATATATAGTTTAGTTATTCATAATTTAATAAAAGTACTTATAATACATTTTATTTATTAATTATCATCTTCCTTGTTTGTAATTTTATTTAGTGCTTCTTTATGTATATATTTTAATGTATTTAATTGTGTGTGTATATATTGATATAATTTTATTTATTATAAAATTAATTTTTATATGACTATATGATGTATATATAAAGAAGAGCAAATTACATTATTAGTCATGTGGTCTATGTGTTTTAACAGTATGTGCTTCTATTTTGAAATATCTATAGATTGTATTTATGTGGTTTGTAATCTATAACACGTTGGGTTCCTAAATCTAGCTCCGTTCAACAAGTTTCGGTTAAGTGACATAAATCAGAGGGGTATTTTAGTCTTTTCAACAATTTCTTTATTTTTCTATAGAAAAAATCTTTTCTTTAAATTTTAGGGTCAGACAAAGGTATGATGGTTTTGGGGGAGTCCAGTGATGGAGTCGTGGTGTAGAAAGAACTGAAGATTTGCGGTGAAGAGGAAGTCGTGGGTAACGCCTTGGACGTTGCTCATATCTAGATATGCACGGAACTTGGAGATGAAGTCGAGGGATAGCTTTATTCGATGTGAGGTATTGCTCGGAAAGATGACTAGGTTTCATATATGTATTGTTTTTAATATAATAATAGTATATATAGTAAACTACATGTTTGGCCCCTTTGATTTTTAATAGAAAATAAGAAAAAAGAAGTAAAGTGACTAAAACACCCCTTTATTTGCCCTACTTAACAAAAAAATTTAACGGACTTAGATTTAGGGACCCAACGCATTATAAAATACAAACCACGAGAATGCAACCCATAACTATTTCAAAACAGGAACCCATACTGTTAAAACACATACACCATAGGGACCAAGAATGTAATTTACTCCGTAAGGAATAAATTAAATAAAATTTTATTACATCAAAACCGTAAAAATCAGGTTACATATATCGTTTCACATATAGAACAATATTTATAAAACATACATTGTTGTTTTTTTTAAGTATATAATATTTATATACGGCAAATGCAACAAATAAACTCACACACCCTCCTCACATTTAGTGAGGTTTGAACCCTTGACCTCCTAGGAAGCCAAGGACTACCATATCGCTAGGCCGCAAACCCTTTAGTTACATTGTTGTTTCATGTATGAAACATACAATTTTATTTTACATTGAAAAAACATATAACTACGTTACATATATGAAATACGTACACAAGAAGAAAACAAACAATACCCTTAAATCATATCTTATGAAAACGACAAAAAATAATAAATATTGGCTTATTCTAGAGCCGGAGATGTCAATTTTGTTGTTTTTCTTAAAGGAAAATGAAACCACCGATTACATGATATATGAACGGTTATAAATTCAAACAAAAACTTAAACAAATCACATACGTAATTTACTTAAATCTAAACCACTATTATTCTTTTTATATAACAATATATATATATATATATATATATATATATATTTATTTAT